CGTCGTCAATAGTCACACATTTTATATATGGTCAAGATAACTTTTGTTTACTTGATAGACATCGATGAGTTATGGGGAAGATGGTAAAACACTGCATATTTTGTTTCATTGACTTAGTATTAAGCCTGATTGTCTTTTTTCTTGAATATTAGTTTTTGCTTTCTCTTATCTAATGTGTGTAATTGTTCATATAACTTTTTTTCTGAACATTATCTCTGCAGATATTTGTTTCAAAGACTGCATCATTCAGTGTTCCTAATGACCAACCCATTAACTATATTCTGATGTTCCACTTCATATACCATACCATGGTTTCTAGTGACAAGAATGTTGTCCACAATTTGCGAACAATAGTCTTACACAGCACATCTAGTGGGCACTAGTCATGTAACTATTCCAGTTGAATGCAATTGAATGTTAAGTTTTCCCATACTCCTTATAACAACATTCTGACCAAGCAGGGTGAACTTTCATATTATACCCCCCTCCCTGCCCCCTAGAACCTCTTGCATATATGATGAACAATTTGTTTAGTTATGCATGAATACATCGAGATTTTCAAAAACATCATTTGTTTTTCAATATTAATATGCATATGTGACCGGAAATGTGTTTGGTGACTTTAAAAATGTTAGCATGTTTTGTGAGACACATGTGGACTGTTTGAAGGCGGATGGATTTTGTCTAAGGGGAAACGTGTGTGAAGGTTGAAGGTGTCAGCTGTTTAATCTTGGTGTTCTATTGCAAACATACATACATACGGACATACCTTCACCTAATGACCCTCTAACCAGGTTTTGTGAGTCACATTCAGACTTGTGTATACCGTTTTAAAGTGGTCACTTTGTAGCTCTGCTGTCGACTTAGTCGAGCGGAGCTTATCATATGAGTGATTGTTCGTTGTCGTCTGTCATCGTCCGTGTCAATATTTTACTTTTTCGACTTCTTGAAAACTACAAGCCTGATTGCTTTGATACTTGATATATATGTACCTTGGGTGAACCTCACTTAGATTTGTTCAGTTCATGGTGATATCTTTAATTCTCTAATTTTGGTGAGTATATTTGTAATTTTTGGTAAAAAGTGATATTCTCAACTTCTTGTTGAAAACCAATTGCTTTGATATTATACATACATGTATAGGTACCTCACGTGGACGTCTCCATCTTTAATTCACAAATTTTGGTGAATATCTAAAAAGGGGTATTTTTGACTTCTTCTTAAAAAATGCAAGTCTGATTGCTTTTATGTTATACATATAAGTACCTCGGGTAGACCTCTCTCAGATTTGTTTATTTTGTGATGATATCTTCAATTTTGTAATTTTGATGAATATTTTTGTCATTTTTGGTAAAAAATGATATATTGCTTTGATACAATGTACTATACATATTGTTCATTTTCTAATGATATCTTCTGTTCTTTAATTGGAATGTGCCTTGCTATCAGTGGAGCTACAATGTATCTCAGTTGACAGGCTGCTTAATTGTTTCCTTTTATCAATGATCAATGAGCATGAAAGCACAAACACACACAGTAGATTCAACACACATACGGCACTGGATGGCCTACCCACATTGAAAGCACACTCACACATAGATTATATTTACACGTATACACACATATGGCCCTGGACGGCCTACCCACATTGAAAGCATGCATGTCACGTAGATTATATTTACACGTATACACACATATGGCACTGGACTGCCTACCCACATTGAAAGCATGCACATCACGTAGATTATATTTACACGTATAC